ATCCAGGCTGGCCAGGCACCCCAGTGGGGACCCCCACCCTGATCCAGGACACCTTCAGGGCAAACCAGCCGGCCCCCAGGCCGCTATCCTATACAGTAAAAGGGTAATATGCTAAGTGTCCGGTTGTCCAGTCAAAGAATCAAAGCGTAATATGCTAATGATATGCTAAGGTCACTCAACCGCTCGCTATGATGTGCACTGACCACCAGGGGGCAGATGCTCCGACCCATAGGTTAGCATGCTGCTGGGGTCTGGCCGATTAGGACTATGCGAGATGGGCCGGACACGCCCTGGAGCCCTCCCATGGTCCCTTCCCGGCTGCCCAACCTCCCGCATAACCTCCCTGGCCCTGATCATGTACCAGTGGGGTCTCTCGGCCTGGCCTGCACGTAACCTCCCTGGCCCTGATCATGTACCGGTGGGGTCTCTTGGCCTGGCCTGCGCCCTCTCACAATTCAGGACCCCTCAGGGGATGTCAGCCGGTTTTGGACCGATTCTGCAGGCCAGGCCAAAGGACCCCACTGGTGCACGAATTCGTGAACCGGGCCTCTAGTACTAATGAAAAGAACAGAGTGATTTAGAATTCATTTTGTAATGGCAGCTGAAGATAAGTTTGTTAGATATTAACAAACCAACTATGAAGATTCAACTAAAAAAAAAGTCAAATATTCTTTTATTCCCAATCTGCCCTGGTTCAAGTCCTTTTCCATTTTATTATGGAGAGTAGATGGAATCAGTTATAGTAGTGTGACCAGAGTATGTTGTAAGATTAACAATTGACTTTACATGAGTAGATTATAACACAGTAGACACAATTCATATGATTATATACCTGAACCATTACTCTATTTTAGATAGTTTTAGAAAATTTGAAAGTTGCAAAGTGGCTGCCTTTTATTTGTAGGGGGATTGGGAGCATAGAATGAACTGTATTTACTTAAACAAATAACTGATTAATGTTTAAAAAAAGAGAAAGGGTATACTTTTTAAACACCTTCATCTTTCAGTCCTAAATTCTGTATTTCCACTATTTATTCATAGCATTTTTTGGCACTAAGCAAAGAGATCACTAGGGTGAGAAATTAGCCCTCCCCTCCCACCACGTAATCCTCTTCCTTCTGCTCAGCCTTAGGGCTGAGTTGGCTATAACTGTACACTCCTACCCTAAGCCAAAGTATCCAAATAAATCCCTTACTATCAGTACTAGAGCACTAAACAGTCCTATAATCATGAAGCAGACTATTTTTTTCTTAAAAGCTGAATGCAATTTTAATAAGCTTGCTCTTACTGAAAAACTTTACATGTTTATTATTCTATGCTAATTTAAAATAGTTTATCCATCTAAGAGAATTGATAAACATTTACTGAATATCTTCTTTGTGTAGAAAACATTTTTTGATGTTATGAAAATAATAGTGTGAGTAAAAAGAGGAAACAATGTTTGAACCAAACACTAAACAATCTATATTTATCTAATTGAAACAAATTAAGGAGTTATAAGAAAGGCAATATGTTATTATTTAACCCATGTAAGTTTGACATAGCAAAATTCATAAAATTGGATATTTACAAGGTGAAAAATAAGATATTAAAACACTAAAGAAATTAACTGAACATTCTGAACATAGTTTAGTTCAGTGGACAAATTCACTGTACATACTCTGCAAGTGATAGAAGTCTGAGTAGGACAAGCTAAATTGTGTGGAATATATAATATGAATGAATTATCTGGCTATTACAGGGAAGCTAGAATAAAGCCAGGAGGTGGTGATGAAGCAGAAATGACTATATGGCAGGATAGGATTTTTTACCTTCACTAAGTCAAAAGTAAATCACTCAACCCCTTGAGTATAAGAAACTTCAATATATCAAGAGAAGTGATTTCAAAGAAATGATGTAGTCAACTGGTACATATTATGACTTTAAGTTGTTTTAGACTGATTAAAATAGGAAGAATAATTACTGTTTGAAATCTCACATATAAAATCAACATTAATTTCAAATACTAATCTCAGACGTGAAAACTAAGAAATGTGGCAATACTATTAGAGAAAATAAAATTGGTAAAACACCTACCTTAATACTATAAGCGTCTGAAATAAGAGTCTTTGGATCTAAAATTTCCACAACAGCTTCTGGAATAACTGCTTTCTTCATGCAGGACATGTTGAAGCCATAGACATCATCCCAAAAAGCAATTCTATCAGCATGTTTATTCACATCACTTACTGCCACAAGGCTAATAGTGCAAATATCAGGGTAGACTGCAAGAAATAAAATATCCAACAATTTAGCATTATCTGCCTTTATTACAAAACAGAATTTTAAAAGGCTAAATATAAGTATCAAATCCATTAGTATGGTTCACTAGCAATTGATTACTAACAGTGGGGCATTTATGAAGGTATAGCTCATGGAAAATAACCAAGTCCCATCGTGTAGCTCCCTTAAAAAAAAAAAAGATTTCCATTATTGTGATGGTAAGATTAAAATAAGGATTTCACCAATGGGTTGCTATTAAAATAATTAAAAGAGGATGGCATAATTAGGTAATCCTGAAATGAACATATTTATTAAACTTACAGTATGATGACTTTTAAAAGGTACTAGATCTTTATATATAGCTTTGAAACATGCAGAGAGGGACAAATCATTTAAAAAGATAATATCTTAAAAATTCATGTGATGGAATATTATAGTTGTGTAGAAGACCACTTCATATCACTGAGGGGATATATTCAAGGAACATTTAGGAGGTCGAATTCATAGTACTTTAAGACTGGCTGGCTATGGAGATGAGGAAGAGGAAAGAGTCAAGGATGACAGTTTTTAGCTTTATAACTGGGCAGAATGTGGTACTAACCATTATAATATGGAATAAATAAGGGCAGATTCAAGAGAAATATGAGAGTTTAATGCTTATCAGACAAACGGGTAAAAATATCCACTAAGCAGCTGAATATAGGTCTGAAATTCAAAAGAGAATCTGGGCTCAAGATATAAATTTGGGACCATGAGCATATAAATGAAAATTAAGTTATGGGAGCTCATGAGGTTCCTAAGGAGAATACATGATGAGTAACAATTTAAGAGATGCGTAGAAGAAAAGGATATTGAAAAAAAATGGCTGAGGACCTGGGGTCACAGGAGTAAGAGGAAAATCAAGTGTTAAGAGCATTAAGGGAAGAGAATGATTCAGGAAGAAACTCTCATCTGATAACAAGCATAGATCTTTATAACAAAAATTTTTAAATAATACTGATTTCTTTTTATTAATAAATAAAAAATGAACTTTGTCCTTCAAATGTATCAACATGAATTATCACCACATTATCATAAATTAAAATATAAATTACATTTTCCTATAACAACAAATTGAAAGCAAGTACATATGTACCAAAGAAATGCACAAAAGAAGTAATTTTATGACTATCACTTAGCCTTCAGACTTAAGCAGTAGAGAAATAACTTTTTCTTTCCCCCAAACTTTGTTTCTATCCACAGCCTTAGGAATTTTATTATTCAATGACAACAGCACTAAATTATCTTCCAAATAAAGCCCGTGATAAGATCTGCTGGCATTAAAGCAATTGCTTCTTCCACACCTGACATGTGAGACTCCAAGAATAAATACTTGGTGCTATGCCACTGATAAGAAGTTTCTCCAGTCCTCCTTACAGAGGCCTGTCAGGCAGATATGAGAGCTGGGCTAGTCTACTTCCATGTAAATTCAGATACTTCTACTCTCCTCCACAGACTTGGTAAGCCTCTTGCCTGTGCTTAAATTTTGGATTGATACAAATTCTTTCTAGTAACTGATTTGTTATTGAAAATGCTAACCGAGCAAGAATATCAGCTACATGAAAGTATGTTTAGTTTCTTACACCAGATCTTTAAGATAAGAAACACTGAAGAAACAGAATTCTGAAGCAACTTTAGATATTTGGAAACTTCTTTATGCATTCTTTCTGGGACTCAGTATGACAATGGTAGAAGCTTTCCCACATTATGCTGCCACAGACAATCCTATATAATGAAAATGTAATATGCAAATCGACTGAACAGCAGAACGACCAGTTGGTGGGGGGTGGGGCTGGCAAGCAGGCGGCGCCAGGCCAGCCAAGGCACATGCCAGCAGGCAGAGGTAGGGAATGGCAATGTGGGGGGTTGGGGGGGAGTGGTGGTGACCAGCGGTGGCAGAGAGGCGATCGGAGGCCCACCCAGCGGCCTCCTGCAGAGGGAGACATCCCCTGAGGATTCCTGGACTGTGAGAGGGTACAGGCCGGGCTGAGGGACACCTACCCCCCAGTGCATGAATTTTTGTGTGTCGGGCCTCTAGTACATACATAAATGAGCATGGCTAATGTCCCAATAAAACATTATCTACAAAAACAGGCAGCAGGCCAGGTACAGATACCTCTGATATAGAGAAATGGATGAGGGAGATATCAGGGCCACCATATTGTACTACTTCAGAGAGTGCCACTCACACTGCAGTCAATGGGAATTGAATATCCTCTGGAGTGCACAAATATTCAATTCACTTAACATGGTTCATAGAGTCCTTCTATTTTAGAATATTATTTTAAATCTTAGTGAAATTTAAAAAATGTCATCTCTTTATCAGGAGTTGGCAAATGACAGGCCATGGGTCAATTCAGCTCACTGCCTGTTTTTATAAATAAGTTTAACTGAAACACTGCCATGGTCTATGGCTGTTACTGTGGTAAAGCTGAGTAGTTGGGACAGAAACTGTCGCCTATAAAGCTGAAAATATTTACTATCTGCCCTTTGGTAGAAAAAGTATGCTAACTTCTGGCTTTGTATCTATTAAGCAATATGATCCTATACTAATATAATAAAAGCCTAACATGCAAATTGACCGAATGGTGTAATGACAAGTGGAATGATTGGTTGCTATGACGCGCACTGACCACCAGGGGGCAGACACTCAATACAGGAGCTGCCCCCAGCCTGTAGGCCCCAGGCCAGCCAAGACAGGTGCCAGCGGGGGACCCCCCTGATCGCCCTGCCTGTCACCCTGCAGAGGGAGGTGACTGGCAGTGGCAGTGGCAGGCAGGGCCAGCAAGTGGGTGGTGCCAAGCTGGCCAATGTGGGTGCCAGCAGGGGCCCCCCAATCATCCTGCCAGTTGCCCCACAGATCAGTCCCAATCGCCAGCCAGGCCTAGGGACCCTGCCTGTGCACAAATTTTGTGCACCGGGTCTCTAGTTTACTAATAATTAATTCTACTAAGAATTAAGGGTAAGTTTTTCATAAGGAAAAAATGGTATCTCACTAAAAGTAATTTTAAAAGTTTTGAAAATATGTTGATAATAAAGAAATAAACTAAAGAGGAATATGATTTTACTTTTTCTAGTGTTGAGCTAATCATATTTCAAGCTAGTCACATTTCACAAAAGTACAGAAATATCATAGTTTTTATATCTGTTAGAATTTAGAAATGAAATTATCTTTCATAAAGGACTTGTAATCAGTGTTATAGGTGTGTTTGGTTCTATATCCACCTCCTCACAGCTGGCTAAAATGTTGGGCCACCTGCCCGAATCCTGACTAACCCTTTACCTTCACATTCTGACACATCTGTCATTTGATTTTTGTCAGATAGAAGCATAATTGAATAATTATTCCTCCTTGTAGGTGAAATTAACAAAGCGTTGATTGGACAAAAGCACCCTTTTAACAGACCATTTATAAATTCACAGCTTTGACATCTGTGTCCTTCTCGATTCATTGCCCAGAATTCATTTGTCACTAGAACAGCTCACATTGTGAATAGATAAAGGTGGGAAAGCCTTTATCCCTTAGAAATGCCTCACAAACTTTTGGACACGAAAGGATAAGACTGAGCTGCATAAAGAAACAATTCCAGTAAACACTAGCATCATTACTTGTTTAGAACAAGAGAGTAAAAAGTTTAGAACTAAAGGAGATAAAAATAAAAATAAACTGTCCTTTTTACAATACCTATATATAAAAGCCTAAGCGATCATCCGACCAGCCAACTGTCTGACCAGCCGAACATCTGGTAGCTCTGATGTGCACTGACCACGAAGGGGCAGACGCTCAATGCACAGGCATAAAAACATGAAACAGACTGATGAATCTCAAAGGGAAAGGGGGAGGGGAGATGGCGGGAAGAGATTAACCAAAGATCGTATATGCATACTAGAGGCCCGGTGCATGGATTTGTGCACTGGGGTGGGGTCCCTTGGCCTGGCCTGATCGTATATGCATACTAGAGGCCCGGTGCATGGATTTGTGCACCAGTGGGGGTTCCTCAGCCTGGCCTGTGGGGATTGGGCCAAAACCGGCTCTCCAACATCCCCCGAGGGGTCCCAGATTGTGAGAGGGCACAGGCCAGGCTGAGGGACCCCACCGGTACACGAATCCATGCACCCGGCCTCTAGTAGAGAAATATTTGATTGAAATAATAGTCAATTATAAAATTATTGATAGGCAGAAGAAAAATGTAGTTCTAAGTCACTATATCAGTAAATATTTTGGGAGTTGAACAAGTCTAAAAATTGATTTCCAATTTACATAATAAGGGTATCTTAAAAAACTTAAGACTTATTTGGAAATTGGAAACATTCCCACCATTAATTTATAATAGTGACTAAGCCACTAAAACTTAGCTAGGCTAAAATGTAGAGTTGTAATATGTACTGAAAAATTATGTACTAAAAAAACATAGAAGTTAATATTACTGCAATATCACTGGAAGAAAACAAAATAATAAATCTGAGCAAAGCAGATCTGATGATGAGGAAGCAGACAGCAAGTTCTGGAAACACTAAAGGAAACCTCAAAGCACTATGAACCACTGCCCCTAGCTGATGGCACACTGACATAAGTTATGCAAGTCAAGTGCTATGTAAAAGGCAGGTGTTAATACCATGATTGCTTAAATTCATTTCCCACTCTTATAAGGTAAAAACCTAACACTAATCTCTTGTTTACCAGCTGTAACTGAGGAGGGAAATTAACATTTATTGAGTAACTATGTTATATCAAGCCATTTAGACTTTTGACTGATTCTATAAAGGTGGATTACAGATTTTTTTACAGATAAAGAAACTGAAGTTCACAAAAATAAACTAACCTGCTCAAATTACTGGTGTTAATCAGCTAACTAGATAACTAGTTAATTGACAAAACAGGGATTCAATTTACGATCTATCTGCAAAATCTATGTGCTTTCCATTATGCCACATTTATGTTTTTCAAAAGGAAAACAGAGAAAGAGGAACCCCATTTTCCTAAGGACACTTATTGGAAGAGGAAGAGGAGAAAACGGTTGAGAAGAATTGGAGATTAATAAAATTTCAGGGCAAAATGAAGAATATGGAAATGTTCAGCTTTACTTGGTCTGAGTTTAAAAAAAATGAGATGGACAAAAAGAAATACTAAAAGGAAAGCAATTAAGCAGCAATTAGAGAGGAGTACATAAACTGTACTGCTCAGTTTTCCAGCAGCAAGGACAGCATATTTGCAAATCTGGAATTTATAAGAGGCCATTTTTTATTAGTGTAGATTAGGCTTCCAATCAAATTATTAGTACAATGTAAAACCTTTGTATAAAATCTTTGAGAGGCACAGATCTATCAGAGAATGGTATATATCTTCACTCTATTTTGCTGCCCCCTTCTGAATTGCTTGTGAAATTCCCTGTTATGAGACAGGGCCTGCTTCCCTCTACAGAAGCTGAAAAATGACAGAAACTTGCTTTCCCTCGCTCCCTTGCAGGTGAGGCATGTACACAGAAGCTAGGCCCCACTAATGACATGCACCTAAAGCTCTGTCTACCTTTCAGAGGCCGCAAGGCCTACTGTTAGCGAGATCAGCATTGCAATGTGTCAGCTAGTCCTCAGCATCAGAAGTGGTATCACTTCTAAATCAGTCGTATGAGATAATTTTAAGCATCGTTCCTAACTGTATAAACTTACAGCCTGGTTTTCTCGTTCTCACGCAAACTTTTAATCTACCCTATTGTCTTAATAAATTCCTTTTCTGTTGAGTAGCCAGGGTAGAGTTCGATTTCTTCCAACAAGAACCCTATTAATGCAGAGGGAAACATACATTGTAAATAAATTCCTCAAACAGGGCTGTTCCACTAGTTTTGGGTTCAAAAGGCTCTGATGTGGGGCTTGAACATACATTTTTAACAAAAGGTCCATAGAGATTGTGTTGGTCTGTCAATATTAGAAAACAGTGAGTTAGGAAATGGCTATTTTAGTAATTTTATGTTGTATTGGACATTGTCCTCAACTTTATAATCTCAATGGTTATAACTCAAAGGTATATATTCTGAAGGACTCCATTAAAACTTTGAGCTTAGTTCTGACTATGTGTGTGTGTATGGAGGAACCTTTCATTTTGCTTGTAATGAAAGGCAGTGAAAATGACTTTCTTTCCTAGTAATGTGGAAGATGTCTCCTTTAATGAGCCCCTAAATTTTCTATGAAGCAATTGTGAACTCAAAAAACTACTACCAGCTTTATGAATTAAAAAAATGAATTATTTCTATGTGCTCCTATCTGCTCACAATTTCAATATGTCCCATTCCTGAGGATGTCAACCCTGACTATATGATCAAAGTGGAGTCTGCTAGGCTTCTACACTGATTACTCTTCTCCCTTTTGTAATTAAGATAGTTTGTGGGGAAGTTTTTTGAAACTAGGTAAATGTCCCATTCTTAATCTAACTTTCAGATTATTCATTTATTAATTTTCAACGGAATTACTATTTTTCAGCTTTAAGTGATACTCCATAAATTCTTGCTGCTAAAGATAAAGCTACTGAAGTATATGCACTTCCTTCTACTTGCCCTCAGCATTCCCTTTCCAATTTTTCTGAGTAGTATGTGACATTGTTAGGATATAAAACATTTGAATTCTATTTTGTCCTCCTATGCTTTTGTCTTAATTCTACCTATAAAACTATGCACTGATTACAATCAAACATTTTTATAGTTTTCTTCCTCATCACTTTGTTGTTTGAATGTAAAACACTACAATTCCTAACACATAATTAGCATTACTAAATCTTAGCTAAAATTAGTATAAGCAGTCTTTAGTAAGCCCAATTTCATTAACTATACACAATTATTTCTATTAGTAGTAATAGTAATAAATGAGTACCTCTAAAGTACTGTGGAATTTCTTGGTGATAACAAAGAGAATGAATACTCAAGTTATTGGCTGACTATGTTTTTATAAAGGTTTTATTTACTCTATGCCATTATATATATGAGAATAAAGTGAACCCTAATATAAAAGTAAGCCGTGGTCCCTTCATGCATACATGGGTCTTCAATATTCTCCCTCTCTCATAACTCAATCATCTTTCTAAATTCTTTGCACTGCTAATTGCTTAGTAAATCTTTCTGTTAGGAAAACGTAACAGAAAACTCTATTTTGCAATAGCAGAATGTGCGTCTAGTTGATTTGGTGATATTCATCATCAAGGCATATTCAAATGCACAAAATAGGCAAAACCACTTCATGTTACTCACTTCTGACTTCTTTTCTCTTGATTGTGTTAACAAATAACATTCAACAGCACTGCTTAGGCAGGTAATGCTGACTTCTTTTCAGTATACCTCCAGATTATCTTAGTGCTAATATTAGTCATAAAAAATATAGAAAGAGCTAGACTTATGAGCCTCCATTTTACTAGTAACCCTCTGATGCTGGGAAAAAGCTCTGCCACTACTTCAACTACAACCTCATTATTCACATGCTCTAAGTTCTTAATGAATTTCATCAACAATTCAATTTAAGTGCATTAAGTTGCTGTCACTCCTTCAGTAAGATCAATGAGTATCACCGAGGGAGGTATGGAAACAGTTTTCTGAATCTTCCCTAGAACAACTCAAGGCAAAAATCAGATCCAATAAAATACACTTTTAGTAGGGAAATAATGAATAGTGAAAAGAAAGATCCAGCAAATCTGAGATTAAAAAAAAAAAAATCAAGGCCTGACCACTTAATATGTGTCATCCAGGTCACATTTGTTTCTAAAACCTCAAAGAGCTATTGTAAGGTTTACATGTAATAACATAAGTAAAGGTAGAGTATATTATTTGGTAGCTTGTATAGACAATCAACAAATGGTAGATAATATTAATTTTTAGTCATTAAGTGTGGTTCTCATTTTTTTTAAAAAGCCACTGCATTTATAGAATGATATAGCTAATAAGTTGCAGAGTAAAATATATCTAAAAATTCTAGCCAGGTTCATGTCAGAGACCAGGGACATATCTTAAAATGGTTGCAGAAAATATAGTGATGAGAGCATTTTGAAAAAAGAAAGGCAATCCATTTAAATGCTATTAAAAAAAAAGGACTCTACTATACTGGAGAATTTTCTCTGTGTTTTATGTTTTGGCCTTATTGATTTCTATTATACCATTACTACCAAAGTAATTTCATAGACCACAGATCAGCAAGAGGCATAATATGGTCCAGTGCTTTATGTCACTACTTCCAAATATCTCCTTTTCATCTATTTGTATATATACTTTTAGCACTTGTACTCTGATCATGGATACCATTTGTTGATCCTGAAGCTTTGAGGAAGGGAAGGTGCAGGGAGAGGTGAATGAAGGGAGACCGATGCTATTCAATTCAGTTTTAATGATTCAATTCAGTAAACATGTATGATGTTCTACCTATGCTGCAGGAGCTATGGAGCTCACTGAAGAGTCAAAGATGAGCAAAACATAGTCTCTGCCCTGAAAGAGAACATTTTGTTTGTATACAACTCTACCCAGCAGAAGGCCTATAAAAACCTAATCTCACTCTGAGTAAGCAGAGTTAACATGATTAAAAGTTAATAAAAAGAAAGCTTTCCAAATTTATTGGGGTCCATTTAAAAATACTGATTGGGTATGTTATGTTTTAACAACTTAGTAGAAACCAGTCACTATTTAAATCTTCTCATTAAATCACAGAAACCAGGTTTATATATTTAGTGAAGTCATGGAAAATTTGCCATTAAAGTGAACAATCTCCAATCTAGCATGCAATACTCCTTTGGAAAAAAGAAAACTAAATGTCATAAAGATTAAAAATAAAAAACTTTGTGACATTTTGACTTGAAAATCAAAGAACTTCAAAATCTAGTCCTTAATGTATTTACAAAAAAGTGTTCTTGAGAATATCATTAACTTTGAGTCCTGCATATCTATACTAATAAAAGGGTAATATGCTAATTAGGCGGACATCTTCCAGACGACCTTCTGGACATCCTTCTGGACAAAGCCGCAGCAGCTGCAAGGGCCAAGGCTCAGGCAGCCACGGGAGGCTGCGAAGGGCAGAGGGGTGGCTGCGAAGGGCCCAGGCTCAGGCAGGCAGTGGCAGCAGCAGTGGGGTCATGGGGGCAGCGCCTTCCCCTGATCCACCAGGTCGCCTCCCGCAGAGGGAGGCCAGATTATGGCTTAGGCTGGGGGCCGAGGCAGAGGCAGTTAGGGGCGATTCGTTTGGTGGAGGAGCAAGTTAGGGGCGATCAGGCCAGAAGGCGGGCAAGGTAGGGGTGATCAGGCCGGCAGGCAGGTGAGCGGTTAGTAGCCAGAGGTTCCGGATTGCAAGAGGGATGTCTGACTGAGGATCGGGCCTAAACCAGCAGTCAGACATCCTCTGAAGGTTCTCAGATTGGAGAGGGTGCAGGCCGGGCTGAGGACACCCCACCCCCGTGCACGAATTCCGTGCACTGGGCCTCTAGTCTTATATAATATTCTACTATCAACAGTATACTGAACGAATGTCTTATAACTTCATCTAATGGAAATATCTTTCATCTCTATTGGGAACTTTCTCAGTCACGCATAGTTTATTTGAAATCTAAAGGTTCATTTGGTTCTGTCAGACTAAAATAGGTTATTAAAACTAGAATTTTATACTTACCCGATCCTCCTTTTGTCAAGTATTTGTTCTTTGCATAAAGAACAGAATCTAACATAGATTCAAAAAGAAGAAAATAACCCTGCAGAAAACAGAAAAAAAATTGAGTTTGGAAATGTGTAATATCCTTACAGAAAGATCAGTTTAAATATCTGCCTACTCTTTTAATAAAAATATATATACTTTGTCTATGCCACAAAATATTCTGCAAATTTTGAAATTATTTTTTGTAGTAAGTTCTCTACATAATAATTGTTAGAAAACCAGGTCAGGGTATAAAGTGAATCCAGAAAATTTATTACGGTAGAATCTACTGAACCTTTTTTTTATCTGAGCTTCTACTTTCTAGACTATTGTTTCTTTCTCATTCAAAGAAATATTTGAAAAAATATTTGTCAAATTGTTGACAAAACCTGTAACTCTCCAGAATATTGCAAAATTAATCTAGAGTGGTTCTTAAGATTTTGCTCTCGGGGGACGTCTGGACACTTTTGATTGTCACAAATGGGGATGGGGTGGAGGGATGCTACTGGCATCTGGTAGAGAGAGCCAAGGATGCTGATGAGCATCCTATAATGCACAGAAAAGCCCCCATAACAAAGAACTATTTGGCCCCAGATGATATATCCTGGTTGATCTATCCTGGTCTAGAACATCATTTTCCAAACAGTTTCCTGCCCCAGTGACTTTCTCTTTGGTTAAAAAAAAGGGGGGGGGGGGAGTTGGCTTTAATACAAGAGATTTGAGAAAGACCAGATGCTAGAGATTCGTAGTGCACATTGGCACAATAAGAGTTCTAAGAAGTGTTAAGGTAAAGAGCACTGAGGAACATATTTTAACCACTCTTCGACTAGACACCTCTTTTTTTTTCTATTTAACAACTATCAACACCTTGCACAGCTAGTGTTGTTTGAAACACAGCCCCAATACACTCCAGATTTTAGAGAACAGTAATGAATCCTCTGCCAAGAAAGGAAAATCATAGGTCAAAAGAAAAGATAACTTGTCCCTACTGGTATCACAAGCACAGTGCATTCTAACAGTATGCTACGGTTTATTAAATAAATGATAAAGTAATCATAAGTGAGAGGTTAATGCCAGTTTCAGTTAGTCTTTCTCCTTCTAGGGGCCCATCCGCCAACAGCCCTGATAAGCAAGGAAAATTAAGTGCTTGGTGCAGAGCTTAGCACATACTATATCTATTGGTTAGGGTGAACCAATATGAATTTTACCCTGATGTTAGCATTCTAAATCAAAACTGTTCTCACTCATTTGCTTTGTGTACAAATAACCGTTTGACAGGATAAATACAACTGCCTTTAACAACAATAAAGTTTTTTTAATGGTTTCTCTAGAACAAGAAAATGCAAATCCGAATGGATAATCTTCCCAAGAGATTAACAGCAAATTTAAATTACAGAAAACACAGCTCTCTTGCTTGAATCACTTATGAAGGAAGCTAATTAAATTGCCACTAGCAACGCTACTTTGGTATTTACCCTCAACACACTAATTCATTGATAAGAAAATAATTGCCTACAAAAGAAAGATTTTGCAACAAAGCTTTTACCAATCTATTTACATTAGGAAAATTAAGGATTTGGTGGAAAGTCTTTCTCTAGATAGATTTCTTCAGTAATATGTCTAACTCTTACAAGTTGGTTCCCCTTTAACATCATTTGTGTATTCAAAGCATAAGAGATTTTTGGAATTCAAATAAATCTTTATCAATCTGACATGACATGCAGATCTATGCACACAAATGCTAATAAATAAGCATTCATCAACTGACTAAGGTGAATAATAATTTATGCTAAGAAATTATTAAAAGAGGAGGCATCACCCTCGCGAGTTTTGCTCAGTGGTTAGTCAGCCTTCAGATGAAAGGGTTGTGGGTTCGATTCCAGTCAAGAACACATTACCTTAGTTGCAGGTTCCCCTACTGGGGTACCTGGGGAGGCAACCAATCCATAGATCTCTCTCCTGTCAATGTTTCTCTCTCTCTTTCTCTCTCTCTCTCTCTCTCTCTCAACATCCTCCCTCCCTTCCACTCTTTCTAGAAATCAATGGGAAAAAAACACATCCTGAGGTAAGGATTTATAACAACAACAACAACAAAACAACAAAAGAAGAGGCATCCATTTGCCCTATGAGGAAAAGATCAGCTGATAAAACATGTTAATTGGCTGAAAAAAAAATGGTTCCTATTTGTAAGAGTGCTGAAGGATTAAAGAAAAAAGAAAATAAATTCACATTTTGGTACAAATTAAGTACTCATTATATTCCAATCATTTTTGGAAGGGGGTATTAAAAACTGTTACTGATTTGGCACTGTGTCAAAACTGTTTCTAGTATTACTCTTTCAAAGCAGTTAGCTAAATCTAAGTATTTTGCTTCCATATGCTCAAATACCATCTTACTTTCATGTACTACAAACCAAAAAAAGTCTTTAATCAATAGGTGAAAGTACCTCCTTCTAGCAACACATCCTTTATCGCATTTAAGATAAAGATATTATTATCCATTCATCAGAGATTAAATTACACCTATTTTAAATTGATATTATGGTCAATACCAATGGTATAGTGGTTGAGAGGATGGATTCCTGAATTTAATCCCAGATGAGCCCCCTTTTCTATTGGCTAAGTTAACATCATTATGCCTCAGTTTCTTCATCTGTAAAATGACAGTGACAATGACATTGTATTTCATACAGTTGTTGTGAGGATTAAAATGTTCATACATGTAAAAGGTTTAGAACAATAAATTTACTAGCCCAGATGAAAAAAATTAAGAGCTATGTAAAAAACATATTTGTAAAGGCTAATCAGAATTTTGAAATTATGTTTAATATTAGAGAATAAAGGTTTACCAGACTGTCCAGATTGATGTAATAACATTTATTTAGTGGAGAGTCTTATATTACAATCCAGAGTAAGAAGTAAAATTTCTTTTTCTCCAGGAGTTAATCAGAACACATTTTCTTGTGTCACTTCTTTTTTCACATCAGCCAAGACTATGTGTATGTATATACACACCAAAATATGTAGTAATATATATATCTATATATACATCTACTAAAAAATTATTTAAAATTAGTAAAATTTTAAAAACGCTATCAAACAACTTGATAAAATTGGACACATTAGAGCCAATTCCAAGATTCTTCTTAAAAAGATAATCACAGGGATTTTTCCCCTCCCCTGGGCCAAAAAATCAATTTTACTTAATACTCTGAACTGGTATTTATAGCTTAAGACTTTCCCATCCATTTGCTTTCATTTAATATAATAAAAACGAATAGGCATTTTCCTACTTACCCCTTCATGATTACCTTAGCTAAGATTAGAATCCTGATAAGATAATATTAGAGATAGTTTCTAAAGTTCTAAGTATTTAAAACAACCTAATTTTCAGATGAGAGAAATCAGTACTAGAGAGGTTAAGTAACTTATTTTAAGTCATGTTGATGGAAAAATAACACTGGACAATTTTTAGCATCTCTTACAAAACAGTGGCCTTAAGATTCAATGCCCAATACTGCTAAACTCAATAGTGAGATAGACTGCAAACAAACAAAAGAAAGGAATCATCATCCCTGGCACTAAAAATACCTTCTCATAAATGCCATGTCTTTGCTTCTCATTTTTTAGAATCAGCGAACACAATAGGGTCAGAGAATTTATGAAAGTAAATGATCAAATGCTCTTCCTGATATATGTAAAGAAAGCATTCAGCACAGTGCCTGGCACAGAGTTAACAAACAGACCATATCACAGAGCTCTTTAATTCGGTGGAAGTCACTATATGGGAGTCAGCTACTAGAAGGTAGAACTAGACTAAGCTATTTAGAAGCAGAAGGACACAGCAAGTCTTTTCCCATTTTTTAATCATTTTTGCTCTTCACTGGTGTATAATTAAAAAATACTGCCTGGCCAGCGTGGCTCAGTGGTTGAATGTCGACCTATGAACCAGGAGGTCACTGTTCAATTCCCGGTCAGGGCACATGCCCGGGTTGTGGGCTCAACCCCCAGTGTGGGGCATACATGAGGCTGCCGATCAATGATTCTCTCTCATCGTTGATGTCCCTCTCTCTCTCACTCTCTTTCTCCCTTCCTCTCTGAAATCAATAGAAATCTTAAGAAAAAAAAAATACTTTCATCTGGTGGCTGTTGGTCAGTGGTTGAGCATTGACCTATGAACCAGGAGGTGACAATTCAATTCCTGGTCAGGGCACATGCCAGGTTGCGGGCTTGTTCCCTAGTAGGGGGCATGCAGGAGGCAGCTGATTAATGATTCTCTCTCATCACTGATGTTTCTATTTCTCTCTCCCTCTCCCTTCCTCTCTGAAATCAATAAAAATATATTTTAAAAACAAACAAAAACCCCAATACTTTCCTCTAGAAAGTATGTGTTTTGCTTTCTAAAATTAAAAATTTCGAATAATAGTGGTGATGACTGTTAAAGTTCATTGTGTTAAATGTCTTTATATGGATCATCTTATTTTATTCTTCCCTAAAGCAATTATTTCCATTTAGCTGATAAGAAAACAAAGCTTAAAAATGTTAAATTACAACTTAAAATAAGAGGACTTAAAAAATAGCTCATAATCATGGAAACAGCTGAATGAGCCAGGATGTGAACCGTGGTGTAAAAACACAGGCCAAGTTCTGAATCATTATTTTATGTTGCTTCTTAAATTGATTTGCTGGATTGAAAATGAGATTTAGTATGTGCATTATACTAGTTACAATTAAGTATTCAAATGTTCTGAAATAAAAAATTTCCCATAGAGCATATTAAACAAGAATTGAATTTACAGTAGATGTATGATTCATAGTATTTCAAATTGATAGTTTAGTTGGCAACTATTACCACCATTTTATTGTAAAAATTATCAGTTTAGAAAAATCACTTGAAGTACCAGAATATATGTAGAATCAATATATGACATTTGTGAGCTAAATTAATATGCCTAATTAAAAATATTAACAGATGAGAAGATTCATATAGTATTGCTAGTGGTTATTGTCCTTTCTCTCAACTTTCCACTTTGCTAAACTTCATTTTACTATAGGCTCC